CCAAAATATTTTGGAATTGCTTAGAAAAGTGGATCAAATCAAAAATTGCACTTCCTGAATCTATTTCGAGAGATATGGTAACCTTTGGAGTATTATTGAAAAACAAAACAATGGAACTATGTTGTAACATAATATTTTGTTTGGCAAAATTTTTTATTCATAAACAAAGAATGCTGAAATCATCTCCAGTTTTTAAACTTTTTTTATTTGAATTCCAATTATATTTGAAATCTCTTAAATGTATTGGGTCATTTGAATTCCTGACTGAATTTTTAATGGAATTGCCCATCAATCTATGTCAATCCTAACATATAAATCCCCTTGTTGCTATTTCAGTTATTGTTTCATTATTATTATTATTATTATTATTATTATTATTATTATTATATGTTTTTATTTTTCTCCATAGCAATCCTTGTATTTCCTTTGAAATACAAATACTGCTGTATTTGTATTTCTTGTTTGTATTTACCTTGTTTAAATAAAGTTTGATTAAAAAATAATCGCTGCAATACTGAGATGTGCTAACTAACTAGCTTGTTGCATTGTGCGCTGTATGTAAGCTGGCGAACTAACCTCAGACTGTCAACGAATAATAAACATGACATCGCATTTACAGAAAAAAAAAAATGGTCCCATTTCCAAATAAGGTATGAGACTGACAGTGGTCCGTCCCGCCCCTTCCTGTTTGCTCCAGCGAGGTTCTTCTCGTCAGAACCCCGATCAGGATCGGGCCCATATTTATGACATAATCAGTGCTCACTCCATCAGCTGCTTTCCAATTGGATGAAGCTACATGTGAAAAAGGAATCAAGCTGAGTTCCAGAACCAACCCAAGAATAGGACCAAACCGATCCACGACAAAGTCAGAACCTGGATCCTGGTCCGAACAAAACCGAAAGAAGATGTGTTCTGATGAAAGACTGTGGTTTTTATTATACTAAGAATCATCTACAATATACAAACACAATATTTTGTACAATCACTTTGTGCTTCTCCAGACGGAGCAAACCGTAAGACAACAAGTTCACAGAATTAGTCATAAAAATAAGCTCAAACTCAACAACGGTATATTTAGCTCTAACTCTATCATTTACAGTTTCACCTCAAAATAAAATAACACAATATTATCGTTTATTCTCATCGGGGGCAGATGGGGGAGCTCTTACAGCTGGACAGGTTATTGATATCATGGTAATTATATTTAACAATATCACACACACACACACCTGCTCATGTGAAACACACTGCAAACATGGCGGCTACAAGACAACACCTGCTAAGGGGGCGGAGCCTCCTCACGCTCCAATGAATGACTAAAAACAGCTTCAGAGTGACGCCAGCATGAGGCTCGGCTGCAGGCTGAGAGGAACCGTCCAGACTGGACTGGACCCGACCGGAGCGGGATGGACCACGAACTGGGATGAACTGGCCTGATTCAGCTGAATTGGCCGGAACTGTTCTTTCCTGAGCTGAACAGTCTGGAACGAAATGACCCACTCCAGGCAAAACTGCGGTGGACTGCCTCGGGTCTGGACTGACTTTTATAACTCTTCACATGACGAGTCTGGATGCTGGAGGTCAGAAGGAGTCTAATCAGTGCTGGGTTGAATGTTCGGCAGGTGACTTGCGTTCGTGATGAGTCATTGTTCGGCAGGTGACCATACTTGTCAAGTTTAGAATTTGAGAATATGGGAAATGTCGTCGTCTGGTGCTATTGTCAGAGGTCAGAGCGGGGGTGGGGGCATAATACGGGAAAAGGGGGTAAGAAATGCTAGCCAAAAACAGGAGACTTGAGAGGTATGCAGGTGACTCATATTGACCTGTAGTTGACCTCTCGGTGTTTCACCTACTTCGCTGTTTTACTGAGCAGAGTGGAGCTCATTGGGCCAATCAGGTGTTAGAAGGTTTCCTGCTGTCAGCCTCATCATGGCTTTAACTGCAGCTGGAAGTTCTGGTTGCATTGGGGCTCAGGATGTTCAGGCGGTTCAGTAGAAACACTAAACTCTTGGAGGTGCGGACACAGAAAGGACAGCAGCCACTAAGTGCTACTCATCCGTACAGTCTGTAGGTGGCATTGTGGGCTATCCTAAACTGATACTCTACTGCCATTTGAATGAAGAACCAATGGACCAGCCTGGTTAAGGCGGGACGGGACCTCCAGCGATCAGCCGGCCTCAGGTACACAGACGGAGTGGATTCCTGGATGTCAGCAGGAGTGATAACTGACGGCTCACAAACATGGACTGAAGCAGAGCGGGTGTGGAGGAATGTCTCAACAGTCAGACTATCTGATCTTTTTATTTTACCTACAGCTCAGGATGGGGGGAAGTGGACCGATGATCAGCAGCATTTCTGAGGTAGCTGGGCAGGCTTGTCGGTCAGTCTGGTGGTCTTAGATCCAGGAGCTACTGGTGCCTCCACGTCCACACGTTCAGACATCTTTACACAGATGATGTCTACCAGGCGCTCAAAAACCTGACGTACATTGATGTTCTCCTTGGCACTCGCCTCATAGTATTCAAACCCTGCAGGAGACAGGCAAAGGTCACACCAGAAGTCTCCAGTCTGTGGTTGGAAAGCCTGGTTTACCAAACTTTGACCTGTGATGTTTCTGCTGAAAATGCTTCTAGAAATGTTTAGTGGAAGGTCTCTGATAAGGTCTTAGTGGGTCAGTAATTGCTCAAAATCTCTAAAAGTACCACTTGGCATACCTCCAGTCCTCCAGCGATACCATCCTGCAGTTTTCAGGGTTCATTCCCACCAATCCTGTTCAGTCCACTTTAACCCAACTCCAGTCCGTCTGCCTAGTCAAAGTTTGGTTGGTTTGACTCAGAGCAGAGAGACAGAGAACTGGATTTTCAGCCATTTGGTTCAGGGATGTCTCTAAGAGCTGCAGGACAGTATCTTAGGACCTGGTCCCCTGGTTGACTGGCATCAAACTGAAAATCACTGTAAATCATTATAGAGACAATAAAGTATTCAGGAATGCCCTGATAACAGATTATCCTGACTACTGTGAGTTTTTATTTCCTTCTAAAACTAACTAATGCACACCTAGCTGGTCCGCCAGGTGTTTTCCTTTCTCAGGTGGTACCACTCTCTCCACGTCCATGTCACACTTGTTGCCCACCATGATGACCTGGGCGTTGTCCCACGAGTACGTCTTGATCTGGGTGGCCCTGTGGACACAGAGTGACAGCTAGCTGGAAGGGATTCACACCTACTGACATCATGACGCAAGCCAGCATCTGACCAATCCCCTACCAGTCCTGGACCGCATTGAACGACTCCTCGTTGGTGATGTCATACATGAGGATGAAGCCCATGGCTCCTCGGTAGTAAGCCGTGGTGATGGTGCGATAGCGCTCCTGCCCTGCAGTGTCCTGGACACAAACAGGAAATGAAAGGACCATTCAGGTTCTGGTTCTGGTTCTGGTCTAATTCCTGGTGGACATAAATACCTCCAGAGACGAGCTTTCAAGAAGCATCAAGACGCGCCGTCTGAACCAGCAGCCCCGCTCCCAGACCAAACTAATGGAACCCAGAGCTAAATGGAGAGTAAAACACTTCTTCCTCATTTCTCTGAGGAAGAAGAATGCAGCTGAACTTCCTGCTGCAGCGTCATGGTGATGACTAAAGCTCCCATGATGCTCTCCACCAGGAACGACTGCAGCTGCTCCACACATCTGAGGATTCAGTCTATTTTTACTCCTCACAGGACTGAATCAGTTACACACACACACACACACACACACACACACACACACATCCCTGCATATCTGCTGGGTCTCAATGCGTTCAGCCTCACACGTGTCCCTTTAATTATCTCCAAAATGACGCCGTTTGAGTCTGTTTTTGTCTTTATCTCTGTGTGCGAGGCAGTAGGGAAGTGAGCATGAAGACTTGTTGCCATGGCAACAACATACCTACCGAAAGACCAGCACAGCAGGGAGCACGTCTGTCACAGCAGAACACCATGTCTCAATCCAGAGGGCTGGTGGTTCCTACAAACATGTCTGTTCCTACTGATGGTACTAATGACGGTTCCTACTGAAGGTTCCAACTGAAGGTTCCTATTGAAGGTTCCTACTCATAGTTCCTACTGATGGTTCCTACTAAATGTTCCTATTGAAGGTTAGTACTGAAGAAGGTTCCTACTGAAGGTTCCAACTGAAGGTTCCTATTGAAGGTTCCTACTAAATGTTCCTACAGAAGGTTCCTACTGAAGGTTCCTACTCATAGTTCCTACTGAAGGTTCCTACTGAGGGTTCCTATTGAAGGTTCCTACTAAATGTTTCTACAGAAGGTTCCTACTGAAAAAGGTTCCTACTGAGGATTCAAACTGTATGTTCCTATTGATGGTTCCTACTGAGGTTCCTACTGGAGGTCCCTACTGAGTGTTCCTACTGATGGTTCCTCCTGAAGGTCCCTACTGAGGGTTCCTACTGATGGTTCCTACTGAAGGTTCCTACTGAGGATTCCTACTGAGGGTTCCTACTGATGGTCCCTACTGATGGTTCCTACTGATGGTTCCAACTGAAGGTTCCTATTGTAGGTTCCTACTGATGGTTCCTACTGAGAGTTCCTACTAAATGTTCCTATTGAAGGTTCCTACTCATAGTTCCTACTGAAGGTTCCTACTCATAGTTCCTACTGAAGGTTCCTACTCATAGTTCCTACTGAAGGTTCCTACTCATAGTTCCTACTGATGGTTCCTACTGATGGTCCTTACTGATGGTTCCTAGTCCTCCTTTCCCTATTCATTCTGGAGTCCCTCCCATTCAGCCTATGGCTGCACTCCATCCCGAAGCTCCGCCCATCCAACATGCAACCCCGCCCAACCAGTCAGAAGCTCCTCCCTGTTCAGGATTAAGCTCCACCCCATCCTCACCCAGATCTGCAACTTGATCCTCTTGTCGTTACGGTAAACGGTCTTGACCTTGAAGTCGATGCCGACGGTGCTAACGAAGGAGTTGCTGAAGGAGTCATCGGCGTAGCGGAACAGGAAGGACGTCTTCCCAACGCTGCTGTTCCCGATGATTAGCAGCTTGAACATGTAGTCGAAGTTCTGGTCGGAGCCGTCCCGCTGGCCATAGCGCTGGTCTGCCTTCGCCATCTGGTGGCGCAAGAGGACAAGTCACATGACCGCCAGCATGATGGCCACTTCTACCAGGCATAACATTACGACCATCGAGCGGTCACCGATTACCTGGCTCACACCTGCCAGCAGCAGAACTTCCTGTTTCCCAGATTAATGAAGGAAAACTGGTCAGAACTGCTGATGATTTTGATGCCGGGACAGGAAGTGGTCGGTCTGGAACAGGAAATGGTCAGACTGGCATCTGGTGTGGGTTGAGCTGGTTCCTGAGGAGGAAGGTCCAGTTGGACCTCATGTCAGGAAAGTTGTCCTGTGTTTGGTTGTAGAGGCAAACCCTGGAACATTTCTCAACCAAACCAGACCAATCAGCCAAGAGAACCTCTGACCTTTGACCTCAACCAGACACCCAGTTGGAGGGCCCGAGATGGAGCCCTGAGGGGCCCCACCGAGAGACCTAGCAGAGGAACTCCAGCTGTTGGTGAAACCAGAACCAGAACCATGAACACCTGAGGATAATTGTCTCGTCTGATTGGACCCTGAGCTCAGAGCTCCACTGGTGGACCTGATGCTTACACGCTTGCAACCAGGCAACCAGCAGGAGATGTGCAGATGTTCCTGCAGAAGCGTCAGATGAAGAACATTTGTCTCGTGGATTCCAACCGTCATGGAGTCCAGAGGTTCTGACTTGGAGGTTCTGATGATTTTGGAGGTTCTGACCCACACCAGAACCGTACTGCCATCATGTGTCCTTTAGGTGAAACTCCGGTCATGTGACTGAGCAGTGCCTTGTTGTCATGGGAGTCAGCTGGATCCATCCTATCAGATCCATGACCCGGTTCTGATGCAGGACTCTCAGGAGGTTCTGGACGCTCGGTCCCACCTGAGCACCGTCACCATGGAGACAGGCTCAGCAGCAGCTCAGCGGTCTCTTAGTGAAAACAGGAAGCTGCTTCAGAACCGAGTCCGAACCCGCTGGGTCACTGCGTTTCTGGTTGGGTTCTGCAGCTGGAGCAACTGGACCCATCAGAGCTGGAGGTCACCTGTCCACCACCAACTGGTTCTGGTTCCGGTTCTCTAAACCTAGAGACAGAACGTCTACAGAAGTTCTGATGGGTCAGTTTGATTAGAAGGTTCTGTTCTGGCCCAACAGAATCCCCGGAGTTCTGTTCTGGTTCTGGGCCTGCAAATACCAGAACCCTGCAGAAAGCACCAACAGAACCAACAGAACCGCGACCAGACAGAATCAGATTCTGATCCAGATTGTTTGGATCAGAGAAGATCAGCAGAGAGTCAGACTCCACCCTGGGTTCGGTTCGGTATAGATGTGCGGCGGGCTCACCTCAGCTGGGCGGGTCCGATGCGCGCTCCCTGCAGCAGAATAAAACCCAGAGCGGTTCCGGACCGGAACACGATCAGAACCAGCAGCTCCGCTTCAGCCGAACCGAGTCACTCTCCGCGCGCGCGCGGCTTCACGCGGACCTGCTGAATGGTAAGAGGTGGCAGCCAATCAGAGAGCGGCTCCGTGCCGCGCGCAGTGACTCATGGTTGCTCCGGAGTCCATCTGCGGCACGCGCCCGCGCGCGTGCACGCGGAGCCAGTCTGAAGATAAAATAAAGAGAAATAAAAACAGAAAATGGAAGAGAAAAAAACCTGAGAAAAATAAAGTACAATTTTTTTTAGAAACCTCAGAAACCATGTTAGAAATAACAAACAGGAAATTAACCGAAAAGTCAAGGAGTCTGACTCTGGACTCCATGAAACCGAGACAGAAACAGATCAGACGTACTGGATGGCTTCAGTCCAGATTTAAAGGAAAATGTTTCTGATCAATATCTGGATTATTGATCACACGCTGAGGACAAAAGTGCAGTGAGTCTAACTGAGGGGTGACTGAGGCACCAGCTGTGAGTTGAACATCAGAACCAGGAAGTCCTGATGAAGGTTTCTTTTAAAGGGCCAGTGTCGTGTAAAATCAATTTTTAATCTGTCCATCATGTTTCTCCCTGGAGTGTCGCTTTGATTCTTTCATGTTTGATAAGTCTTTTAATCTCCATGGCAACTGTTCAGCTGGGTGGCCCTAGCCCCGCCTTCAAAAGTGCAGCTCCTCCCCCTCTCAGCTCCTTCAGACTAGCCAGCTGCAGTTAGCAAACAACTGCTGAGCTCACTATAGGAGCTGCTGCTCAGATCAGTGCTGGTAAGAAAATTAAAGGGTTAATAGAGGAGCCATGTTGGGACGACTTCCTGGAGGCGGAGCTTCAGAGAGAGCAGGAGGTTTTTAAGAAACAGAGGCCCAATTTCAAGATGCTAAATCAGGAAGTAAAATTTCTGATATAACATTTTTATAACAACTGAAGGTAACGTAGTTACTTGATTATGCTTAAATAATTTGATAGCATATGTAATTGTATGTTTTGTTTTATATATCTACCTGTGATGTTGTGAAGCACTTTGCTCAGCTGAGGTTGTTGTAAATGTGCTATAAAAATAAGCTTTGACCTGGAAAACATATAATTATGCTTCTTTAAGGTGTAGAATTATTATAATTATTGTAATTATAGAATATTATAAACCAATAAAAAAACTATTTAATGCAGAAATTATGGGCTGAAGGAAAAGTATGTTTAATAGCTGCTTAAAGGTTATTTTAAAAATACTTTAAATCTGACAAACGAGCTCGTCCTGTATTTGATGTATATTACATGTATATATTATAAATTATATTATGGATGGATTAGCTGTCATCGTTTTGCCGGTTCTTCTGATCAATCTGGACCTGAACTCATGATGTCACCTTAAGTTGTTCCTGAACGCACCATGCAGAACGGAACAAAACCTCAGCTGGTTCTGGACCCATCAAAAGCTTCAGGTCTTGTGTGAAATTCTGCCCCCCTGTGTCGGGATCGCGCACTGCAGCCAGAGAGGATCCGACCATTTCCACGGCGCTTCTGATCGATTTATCGGTAAAACAACTCATATAATCATGTCAAGATTGTAACTTTCAGTTTAATCAGCAACTAACAAAATGGTAAAATAAATAAACGAGATCTTCTTACACCGTTTTGTGTTGTTTTTTAATCGCCAAGAGAATCGGTCTGTTTCCAACTTTTGTCACTTAAGCCTGACAATTAAAACCAAACACAGGTTTCCAACACGTTGTGTGTATTTATGATCTTTCATTGCTGATATAAGAGGATGGAAGCTGCTAGTGTAGGCTTTGTGGAAAATCCCGTTATAATGTAAAATATGACAGATTACTGAATAAAAGACATTTCTACATCCTATTACACAAAACAATCTTTGAGAATTCGGAAACAGTTGGGAATATTTCAGCTGCCAGAAATAAGCTATTCCCCTGTTCAACGCTCTTTGGAGGGGAACGGATATTTCAGGCAGTTAAAATATATGGTTCCCCCCTCATAACTTTGGCAAATAATGATGAATTACCAAAATCACGGGATTTATTGTTGATAAAAAGATGAATAAGCACAGTTAAAGACTTGCCAGTGAATTAATTTGTTCCCATGTTACACGGAACCCCAGGGGTTAACCCTTCCCCCACGGGGAAGACCCAGGACACGCTGGAGGGACTGTCTCTTGGCTGACCTGGGAACGCCTTGGGGTTCCCCCAGAGGAACTGGAAGAAGTGGCTGGGAGAAAGAGAAGTCTGGGCCTCCCTTCTGAAGCTGCTGCCCCGCGACCTGACCCCGGATGAAACGGAAGAAAATGGATGGATGGATGGATGTTAGAGGGAGAACAGATGTCTATGGTCAGACCCGCCTCTCTGGCTACAGTGCGCGCTCCCGACACAGGGGGGCAGAATTTCATAGGGGGGCAGACAAGGTCGGTTCCCTAACATTAATGAGCTATAATCTGAGCCGCTTCCTGTCGCTGAGTGGCGCTGTTTCCGCCTCCTGCCGCAGAAGAAGAACGCGGAGCGCGCTGATTGGCTGCAGTCGGGGGCGTGCAGCGGAGAGCACAGATGGCGGCGGTGACCAGAGGATCCTTCAGCGCTCTCAGAGTTCTGGTGAGGAGAAAACCGAACCGGAACCACGCCGAAACGAACTTGAACCACACTGGAACCCAACCAGGCCGCTTTGCTTTTTAGCGCCTGCGCGGCTGACGCTAAAAGCTGCTGGTGACGCAGGCGTTACGTCACTACGGTGCTAACTGAGGCTAAATGGATTGTGATGGTATGGATCCGGGTCGGTTCCGTTCTGGAGCAACGGACAGCGGGTTCTGTCTTTCCCGAACCGAACCGGTGGGCTCCCCTGAGCTGCTGGTTCCGGTAGAATCCAGGGTTGATGGTGCGTTCATGTTCTGTCAGAGATTCTGCTGCTGACGGCTCGGTCCAGTTGGATCCCAGTCTGAAGAAAGCCGCAGCTGTTGGTCATAATGTTCT